AGCAAATATTTATTCCCTGCTTACTATCTAACAGGATCTGGGGGAAAAAAAGGGAATTAAAATGGCAAATGGCTAATTTTACAGTTTTTTTTTATAGCAGGCTTGGGGCTGGGGTTGTGACTCAGTGGTAGAGCGCTCACCTAGCATGGGTAAGGCCCTAGGTTTGATCCTCAGCACCACATAAAAATAAATAAATTAACTGAAGATATTGTATCCAACTACAACTAAAAAATAAATTTTTTTTTAAAAAATATAGCAGGTTTATCCTTTCTTCTACTTTCATTGGTTTATAAATAAAATCTGTTAATTAGTAACACCTCACCATATTCCAAAATTAAAACTCATCTAAAAGATGTGCAGTAGAAGCCCCATCTATCCCATTTTCCTCTCTGTCCTTACACAGGTTTTAGATATTGTGTACTTTTTCAGATTTTCTTTATGCAAATATACCAAATACAAACATATATTTTAATCTCCTTCCCGATTTACACACAAAAAATACTTTACTCTTTTTGAACTCTGTTTTTTCCAAATAACAATATATTAGGGAAGCTTTCCAAATCTTCATATAGAAAACATCCCCACTTTGTGTTGATTTGTAGAGTATTTCACTGTATAGATACAACATAGTTCATTTAACTAGTATCCTACTGATAGACATTAGGGGTGTTTCCAATCTTTTATGACTTCAAACAATGTTACAATGAAAACTCCTAAACAGATGCCATTTTGTAAGTATACAAGTATATCTGTAATTCTCAAAACTCGTGAAAAAAGTAAATGTGGTTTTTTTTCCTAGAAATTGCCAATTTGCTTTCCATAGGAGTTGTGTCATTTTGTATTTCCACTACCTATGCATCTCAGATATAGCATGGAAAAAGCTATTTCCTCTCGATGAGCCTCTAAAACACATTGTTCATATGGCAGCTTTCAAGGACTAACTGAAGCTCTTTATTCATTTTTTCTCAAACATATCTGTAAAATTTGTTGGCTTAGTAAATTTAAAAGCAAATAAATTTTCAAATTTAAAAAACTTTCATCAGCACAGTAAATCAATGTTGATGCTTAATGTGCTAGGATAGCAACTATCTACTTTTCTAACCAATATCTCTTGTGATCTAAAAATAAATATATTCCCTACTACAGTTTTTTTTAAATTCATATTCAATTGTTTATAATTGTGAATGCAATCAAATGCATGTCACTTTCAAAAATGTTTTTCTGAAATATTTGTATGTTTTCATCAAATCAAATCTTTGTTACTTCTATAGTTTTCTTTAAAAATTGTAATTTCAAGGGCTATTTAATCTTATGATTGCCATTTTCATTAATCAGTGTCACCTAAAACATTATTTTTATTTCAGTTTTCATCCTAACAAAGTAACAAGAAAACAAACATATCCACTGATATTCCTCCTATTTGAAGGAATCCTTAAGTAAATAGTTTCAATATAACTGTTTTTATCAGAAAACATGTAAATGAAAATCTTTACTCCTTCAATAAGGATAAACAATACATAAGCAATGTATTTTGCATTTCAGTCATTCAGAAATCAATTCTGAGGTTATCTGAATACCCTGAAACAAAGTGGATGACCCCAAAGAAAATTTTTTAAAAGTTGCCACACATTCTATGCATTCAGTTAGTAGATAGGACAAAAACCATACTTAAAGTTTGACCTAAATAATGTATAATGTTAGGCAAATGTTTTGTCTTTAAATATAAATCAACACAATGCACTAACAACAAATGGCAAGAATTACCTAAGAAAGGTAGGATAAAAAAAAAAAAAAACCATTACAAATAGCACCCAGGATAAAAAGCTTATCTATATAGGACAATTTTGTAGGCATCTGATAGGTCATAATGGTTTCTGAGGAAATCACTTTAACTCTGTAAAATGCTTGATGCTCATAATGACAATATTGAGCCATTTTTTAAAAACCTTAATTTATTTCAGTTTTAGAAAATAGGTATAAATTGTATACTTTAGAAAAATATTCATATAAAACAAATTGAGCACATATAAGGGTAAAATTCAATTACCCAGAAAAACAACAGGTGAGGAATATGCCAATTAAATTTCCCCAATGAATGAGGAAATAAAGTAAAATTTCTTATTTAAAATTAGCATATACTATGGCTTGCTTTTGGAAGATGACCCATAATGGGTTCATTATCATTTTAGAGGTTATTTAGCATACAACTGCCTGTGCCAAGCCAGATCCTGGTTAATAGCCAAAAGAATATTTGATCATTTTTAAAAGCTAGATGGGCAAATTTCCAATTAAATGACTAGGAAATTCAAGAAAACGCCTGATTTTACTTTATTTACTTTAAGTTGTAACTCCCACTAGACAGGTTGATCTGGTTTCTAGCCCCAGTTTGCTAAATGTCCTATTCAAATGACTCCATCTCTCTAGCCCTCCTTAGTTAAGGAATTAGAGAAAATATGATATTTTAGAAACAGAATGAATGTGCTAATAAAGTGAAACACACAATTACTTCATTAGGTCATATATACATTTTACATTAAATTATCTCAAACTTTGTCTCTTCACCATATATCTAAGGACAACAATAAAAGAGTTAATAACTACTGCAGAATCCTTTCCAACATTTAACATTTGGTACTGTCAAAATAAAACAAGTTTCTCATGTAGTCATTTAAATTCATTTAAAATATCACTGTAATCAATTTCCCTGATATTATTTTCTAATCTAAAAATAAATTACTTGTTATCTGACAATTTTTTAAAAAATTGATATGTAACCAGAGTATTTTTTAAAGAATGTTTACAGCATACCATTTATAAAATCCAAACAGTAGACACAACTCAATTATCTACCAATAGTAGAATGACTAAATAAAGTTAGGCATATTTACTGAAAGAAATAATATATAATAATGAAAATGAATGAAATAAAGCTACATGGATGACTCTTCAAAATAAAATGTTGAGCAAAACAAGAAAAAACCTAAAATTTCACAATAATCAGCTAAAGGCAAAATGTAAACATGTTGTTTGGGAATACATAGGAAAGTGATAAAATTACATAAAAATTATGAAAATGATTACCACAAAAAGCAGAAGTTCAGTTACTTCTACAGAAAGGGAAGACTTTATATATATATCAAATGTTTCTGGGATATAAAAGATCATTAATATGATCATTGATTATTAATGATCTTGATCATTTCTAAAAGCTAGTTGGGCAAATTTCCAATTAAATGACTAGGAAACTCAGAAAAAAGTCCCGATTCTACTATATTTCTATTTTTTATTGCAATATTTAAAGTTTAATTACAACTTTAAGTTGTAACTCCCATTAGACAGGATGATCTGGTTTCTAACCCCAGTTTGCTAAATGTCCTGTTCAAGTGACTCTATCTCTGTGGCTATGTGGATGGTTAACAAAAATAATTATTCTTCATATTATGTATATATATTTCTATACCATCTTGTATTTTATAATAGAAAGTTTGGAATGATATACTTTCTGAAAAACGATAATATGTTCCTTCAGGTAGGAAGATTCCTCTTTTTGCTAACAACAATTTTACTTTCTTGGCCTATATTTCTAATTTTATTGCAATATTTAAATAAGAAAGAACTGAGTTACTGTGCCTGATTTTCCACAATCTTAATTAAGAACAATTTCACAGGCTTTTGCAATGGCAAAATAAAAGAAAAAAGAAAGAAAGAAGAAAAAATGGCTTTAAAGGGATCTGGGCATGGTGGCCCATGCTTGTAATCCCAGTGTCTTAGGAGACTGATGCAGGAGGATTGCAAGTTCGAGGCCAGCCTCAGCAACCTAGTCAGGCCCAAAGCAACTTAGCCAGACCCTGTTTCAAAATAAAAAATAAGAATAAAAAAGCATTAATAAGCACCCCTAGGTTCAGTTCACAGTACTACCAAACCCCCCCAAAACCAAAAGTATAAGAACATTATCCTTCTTTTTTTTAACACATTTTAGTTGTAGAAGAACACACAATATCTTTATTTTTATATGGTGCTGAGGATCAAACCCAGTGCCTCACACGTGCGCTTTTACCACTGAGCTACAGCTCCAACCCCAAAACAGTTATCCTTCTTGATATTTAATTATTTGCTCCTTGTTGCTCCTGTCATTTTTCTCATTTTAAACTTTTGAAAAGTTCTAAATTATATCCAGGTAATAATTTTACATAGGTTTCACTCTAAAAAAAATATTGAATAATTAGCTTGAAAAGTAAGAAGAATTGCTCTTTTAACTCTCATGCTTAAAATCAATATTGGGAGCACTTGCATATGTATACACAATGGAAGAGTCCATAATCAGTCAGTCACAGACATCAGATTTGAAGTCCAACCCATGTTCCACACGGATCATTGTGTGTACTAGAAAACATTATAGCTGGATTATGGGGTAGATACATAAAACAAGTTAAAGTTCACTGTACAAATCGCAAGATAGGTTGATATTCAAAATTGAAACAACATGTTCTAATATACATTACACAGAAAACCAAAAGCACAAGAAGTTGAAATTATTAAAATAGATATCATCAACTGACTTGCATAACAAAAAAAGTACGTGCAGTTTCGAAAACCCTATTAAGGCCCACCACCTACAAGAATTTTTCAATTATGTTTGCTATAACTTAGATGACACTAAAATGAAAGCAGACAATGAAATTTGGAAACAAGACTATCAACACCATCATCAGGCTCTAGATAGATTATCAATATGATGGTAGTGGTATGGCACTATTATTATAAGGGAGTTATTTTCATTGTATACTGTTGTGTTTTTTTGTTTTGTTTTGTTTTGTTTTGTGAATATAGCGAAGAGTTCCTTCATGGGTCCTGTTATAACCAGTTCTTTGCTCATCTATTAAGTGCCAACTTTAAAAAATTACCTTGTGTCCAGTAGGGAGCAGCATTACAACAGCCATAAAACTTAACTGGAACATAAAACCGACAGAAGAAAAAGGAGGGGAAAAAAACCCACTTACCATACGTCTGTTCTACAATACATTCAATTTTAGGGTAGTTGTAGGGCTTCCAGGAAGAAATCTAAAGAATGTCTCAAAGCATATGTGGGTGATACATGGTTTCAAGATTCCTAAAGCAGGAAATTAAAATTTTATTAAGTAAAAGTTCTCTGACCCAGATAGAGCTGAATTAATATGTTATTCAATTAAAGGTTTCTCAGTTAACTGTTTACAGTGCATCTTAGTGGGTCGATGGGATTTTGAGCTTGGATATTCAATGACACTTCAATTAAAAAAATATATTAAAGTCCATTATCCACCAGAGAGTTTGAATATAAGAAGAAAGTAATTGGGTAACAAATTATAAGATATCAATCCACATAGAAAGAACTGTGGTCAAAGAGTTAAAGAAGATGACAAGGTAACCATAGACACCTCTGATATATCAATCTCTTCTAGACTTTGACAATTTACAAGCAAACAATTGAGAGGATATAAACGTTTACTTCTACAGGTCAGCATGATATGAGATTAATTTTGAGAATGAACAGGTTAGAGAAGTAGTTTATAATACTAATATGTAAGACTGATTGGTCAAATCCTTACTGAATATGAAGACTACACATGACATTGCAGAAAAATCTCATCACCAGTCATAATCAGACAAAGGCAAACATTATATTATTATTATATTTTCAGTGTCCACACCAAAACCAAATTTCTGCTTTCAAAAGAAGGTAACATAATAATATTTACTTTTAAGTATATATGACTGCATGTGCCTTACATAATATATATGATGCATGAAAATATTCTTAATAATAAAGTATTTATGTAAAGCTTAAAAGTGTTAAATGATTCTTACTATTTTCTTCTAGCAAAATAACATGAGCAGCTTGACTTTAGTGAATAATACCAAGAATATGTTGACTCCAGTAATTATCATTAATTTGACTGAAGTTGAAATAAATTCTAATATTTTAATTGTATTATACCTCATTTTCTGCTTTCCTTAGAGGTTTCCTTTTATCCTCTCTTTGGCCTTTCTTTTGTGCCCTTCACTTTTCTGATATTCCTCATTTCTGTTGATTTATCCTCTCTCTCTTTGATAATGCATTTCATACACACACACACACACACACACACACACACACACACACACACATATATATATATTTCCTTTTTGAGGCAATGGGAATTGAACCCAGGGGCACTCTACCACTGAGCTCTGTTATATCCACAACATTTTGTATTTTTTTTTTTTTTTTTGAGACAGGGTCTTGCTAAATTGCCAAGGGCAGACTCACACTTGGAATCTTACTTTCTCAATCTCTTGCATAGCTGGGATTACAGACATATGCCATTTCCACTGTAGTAGTGGATTACTAGATCAACTCCAAAATTTGTTTTAGTCTTACTCTTCCCCTTATGAAGCAACCACATTTTCCCCTCTTATATTAGGACCTTTAAAAATGAGTTGTCCTTGTAACAGCAGTTTGCTTAAATATATGCTTTCTTCTATTTACAAACATTATGCATGATCTTAACAATATCACCTAACTAGAAGATTCAAGTAAATACACTTCAATTATATTTTTGCAATTCATTATTTAAATATTGAAAAACTCACTAAACATTTGATTCCAATTTGAATCACCAAAAAATCTCGAGGAAATCTAATTTCACTCACTCATTCCAATCAACTGGAGACCACCTCTGTCCTAAAAAAATAGTAATTTAGGATCTTACTACATTGATGTGAATAAATACTGAGGAACAAACTTCTTTAAGTCAACAGAAATTTAATGCTGTTTAATCATATGTGTCAATACACATATGCACATATACAATATTTCTAATACCCCTTATTTCAAAATATATTATAAAGTCTGACAAGTGATTTCCTATTTAGCACTCTCTAATATGAATATTAACATTAAGGATATTAGTTATCCTGTGAAATAACTTCATTAAAATAATTATTCACAAGTTTTGAATAAAATACAACATATTTAATTATAAATGTATAATATAATTACTTAAAACGAGATTGTACTAGGTTAAGTGGTGCCATCCTCCCATACACAATTAATGTCCTTCTGAAACCTTAGATCATGACCTTATACTGAAATAGTCTTTGCAGGTATAATTAAGGTTAAGGATCAAAATGAGATCATACTAGATTAGAGAGGGCCTAAATCTAATGAGAATGTCCTCATAGAAGACAGAGGAGAACATACAGGGATACAGAGAAGAGGATAAGTGAAAATAGAGGCAAAGATTAGAATTATACTGCCAGAATCAGGAATAACAGGAGTCATCAGAAACTGAAAGGCAAGGAAGGACTCTTCCCTCAAGTCTTCAGAATGAACATGGACTTACTGACATCTTGATTTCAGATATTTGACCTCCAAAATTGTAAAAAAAATAATTTCTGTTGTGGTAATTTTTTATGACGATCTTAGGAAATTAGTGCAGATTTTGGTAAGCGGTAGTGAGGTGTTGCTTTAATAGACACCTAAAACAGAACAGCCTAGATTGCCTAGAAAAGACTGTTGGTAGAAACAGAGTTATTAAGGCAATTCTGAGAAGGGCTTGTAAAGATGTAAAGAGGAAGACAGCAAAGCTGCTACTCCTTAGAAAATACATATTGTTAGTTGCGGAGCAGGCTGAACAAATGTTGGGTGCAGGGTGGGCGAACACTGGACCCTCACCCGTCTGGTTCCTTATCACTTGTTTGCCTCAAGTCTGAACACTCAACCCCAATCAAGGCTGAACACTCGACCCCCACCTGTCTGGTGCAAAGGAAACCCACATCTGACCCTGCCTCGTCTGCCTGAAGGCAGAAGAGACACCCTTAGCAACTACAGTATGATCCAATCATTGTATGCCAACAAGGTAGCTTGCAGACCCAAAAACCCCATTAAATTTTGGCTATAAAAACTCTCTCCTACGGGGCCCCCCTCTCTTGTGCTCTCTTTCTTCTCTGCTTTCACTCTCTCTTACTCTCTCTCTCTCTTCTTCTTCTCTTTCTCTCTCTTGCAGTTTGCTCTCCCCGCCCCTCTTGTGCTTTCCTCTCTCTCTTTTCTCCTCCTTCCCTGTTAATCAGACACTGCCACAATAAAGATCTCTTGGTCACTCCAAGTGTCGTGATCACTTTTCCTTCACATATGTTTTCAAGAACTAAGTATCAGCTAAAGCATACTATGAAGAAGTGGTCAAGTATTGCAGAAAAAATATTTTCTGAAGAGATGAGGTGTGATACTAATGGCTTCAGTCAACCATGTCAGCAGAAGCCAAAATTAGAAATGAGGTTATTCAAGAAGGAGATGTGAAGAACCCTGTGGTCGTATGGCATGTACCCCCTGACATTCACAGAAGACACATAAGACTTTTGACAATGTTATGTTAGTAGAAACACTGCCATCTTGGCAGGAAAAAAAAAAAGGAAAAAAAACTGGATGAAATGAAAAGCTGTAGGACTCCCAAAGTTCTTTAAGCAGAAAATGGACTAATAGAGTTACTTTTCTACAAACATGTACTACTCTTCAAGAAGAAAAGGGGAAAAAATAACTTATAGAACCATGGATGGAGAGGTAAGAGAGCAGAATTGTCTGAAGGGCCTGCAGGGTGAGAACATCGGAAGAGCCCAATGAACTGGACCATGAAGCCTCAGAGAATTATTCTCAGACCTTAAAACCAAATGATATTTGTAGGATTGGATTTGAAATCAGTAAACCCTTTACTCCTTTCATTTTTTTTTTTCCTACTGGAATGGGAATATCTATTGTATACATTTTCTTCACTTCGTTTTGGGAGCAGATGATTTACTTTTTAGTTTCACCGATCCACATACAGAAAGAAATCTTGTCCTTAAATAGACTACATTCATAGTCTCAATCATGCCTAATTTAGACAATTTAGATGATGAAATTTGGTACTTTTCAAGTTGATGATATTTAGATGAAATTTTGGATTTAGAGTTGATGCTGAAATGTGTTTTGGAGGAATGCTGTAATGAAATGAATGTACACATCCAAATCAACATGTATATGAATTTTAAGAATGCGAAGAGTGAAGTGTAGTGGGTTGGGTTCCCCCAATATTTGTGTCTATCTGGAACCTTGGAATATAATGTTACTTGGAAATAAAATCTTTGAAAATGTATTAAGATAAGGAACAAGATGAAACTATACTGAGATAGCTCTGTCCTCTATCTAATGAGAATTTCCCTACAAGAGATACAAAAGGACACAAAGAAGAAGCAAATATGAATATACAAATACACAGAGATTGGAGAAAGGTATCTATGACCCAAAGAACACCCTGGAGTTAGGGGGGAGGCATGGGATAGTCTCTTTCTCACTGTCCCCAGAAAAAAAAATAAATTCTGCTGACACCTTGATTTGAGACTTTTGATTTCCACAATTGTGAACTTTTTAACTTTTATGGTAACTTTTAGTTACCATATTTGTGATAATTTATTATGACAGCAGTACTAGGAAAATAGTACACATACCTCACCATCAGAATTAAATGAAAGTATACCTATAACACAGGGAAATAAAATACAATTGTTTGCCTATAGTGAGTTCATTAAAAATTTATGCATACTTCCCAACAATGTAAAGTTCTATACACCCTTTTGCTTTTACCAAATTTTGTATGTGAATTCTGCCAAGTGGGGGAAGGAAGGACAATACCAATACTTGTCAAAATCTTTAAAAAATTAAAAGAGGAGGGAACACATTGACACATCCTAAAGCATTCCCAAAGCCTTTATTACTAATACCAAAGCTAATTAGACAAAAAGAATAGAAAACTACAAGCCAATATTCCTTGTGAATATTGATACAAAAGTCCTCAACAAACTACTAGCAAACCAAATTTGGCAACATATTAAAAGGTTTATACACCATAATCAAGTATGACTGATTCTCACAATACAAATTCTCACAATACAAATTTTGTTTTGACATACAAAAATCAATCAGTAAAATATACCACATCAACAGGGAAAAAAAAACATAAAATCATATCAATAGGCACACACACACACACACACACACAAATCTGACAAAATTCAATGCCCTTTCATGAAAACAAATTCAACAAAGTAAGAATAGAATGA